GGACATTTTTTAGAAGTATATGTCAAGTGTTGATCTACGTATCGACGCAATCACGTATGGATGCGTGGTCAGTAAAAGGGAACACATGCGGAACAGCTTCATAAGAGGCGTTTTTGGCGTAGGTCCAATTTCATGAAAGCTTAGCGAATGCAGGATCCGTTGGTTGAAAAAGATGAAAGAAGCCTCAACGAATACCTAGGAAATGTGGTCCTAATACTGGTATAGCACTAAGGGAGGGAAAAGTCAAAGAAAAAGTGTAGTGATTTCGTAAAGGACGACGTTAAACTATGAGAGGTGACGAAAGACTTGACAAAAATCAAAAAATTAGGAGACAGATGACTCAAACATCGAATCCCTGTTAAAGAAAACACTAAAAAAATCTCTGTTTTAAAGACAATACGTGATTTCGGTGTGCGTGCGCACAGTATTACACCTTTGAGGTTTTGAAAAGGTTTGTTCTGTAAAAAAATTTTATTTAACAGTCCCAGCGTTTCAGTGAAACTCGATTCAATTCCAAGAAACATTACATACAATAAACCACAGTGTTGTACAAAATACCCTCTGAAGATCAATCAAGTTTGATCCAAAGTGTCGTTGCCTAAAAATCTCTTTGACGACCTTGATTTTTAATTTCATACTGAAAATAGTGCGTCTTTTACGCTGGAGATGACATTGTGTTTCGGCAAGCCACAGATGGGATAGCAACGCATAGATTTTTAATTAAGATATGATGCTTTGCGTAAGATGTTCGTAATCAAAAAAAATTATAATTTTCGTTGTTGTTAAGAACAAGGCATAGGTGATAAAGTGTACATGCATTGATCACAGGTTATATAAATTCAGAAGATTATGATAATTGATAATCAGAAAATATGTTTGCCTATGCTGAGTCATATTTAACCTCATCTGAGCGCTGCGCTTCGTAACTTCAGTGCACTACTAACTGACCGGCGCGATCGATGCTGGAAGAACGAGGGAGTCACAGTTGTCGTCATCGCGGCTGTAAATTGGGCCATTGGAGAGCAACGCAATGACAAGAGACGACTGACGCGGAGCCGGATGCCAGCCGAGCCACTGAGTCACGAATTAGTCACGGAAGCAGATGGCCTCTGCGTTTGACGCTTGACGCAAAGAACATCATTTTGAGGTAAAACTGTCGCATGTCGCTAACGATTACTTAAACCGCGGCCTATTAGCCATTCGCCAATGGTCATATGGTCCTACAGAAGAACAGGTAAGTAACTAGCTACTGTTGTTTTATCCTCCTCCCACCTGATGACCACTGGTCATTTTCTTTATAACGTGGTGATGATGGTGATGGAGGTCTGCCGTCGTTTCTGACCCTTCGATACCTTTTCGCCGAACGAGTTTTT